GATACCTATGTATGTATCATCATATGGAGTTTTACGATTATTTTTAATTTTTATTTTACATAGAACAACTGTCATTGAACGGTGTGGAAAAAAAATAACTCGCATTCTTACAACAAACAGTCCGGGTCTGTAGCTACACAAGAAGACTTTCACATCGCGTAAACTACGGTTAACGTAAATAAACAAAAATAAACAGTCTAAGAGCCATTTATCAAGAAACGGTGATTTTGGTTTAAGATGTTTATAAATATACACGCGTCGCCGAAGACAGGTACTGCTCGTGTTGATATTGTCTGAAAATGTGTTTGTTTTATTGGCGATCGATTATATAACAATGCGGCAACCAAATTAATTGCTCCCAGGGGAGTTTTAATGTTCATATTCTATTTGCGTTGCTGTTGGTTTAAAAAATAATAAGGTATAGAAAGAAATGTTGGCTTCGCGCTGAATTTCATACTAAAAAACTGCACCTCAAAATTGTCGGTGTAGTTATAACACTAACAGGTACACTGATAGTGATATTCGTGCATGATATTATCAAAAAATAAAAGGAGGCAAAACAATTTGGTGTTACCGTGATAATGGAGAGAGATCCACCGTGGTAATGGAGAGAGATCCGCCGTGGTAATGGAGAGATCCGCCTGCTCATAAGGCGGGATATAATTTCGAATAGTTTGGTATTCAATACTAATGTTTTTTTTTTAAAGAAAAGGAAATGTTCCTAATTTAATCTAACCTAACCTAATCTTGAGGCAATCTTAGATAAACAACGAAATAGAAAAGCGATCTTACAAATCTTCTTATTAAATTTAAACGCACTAACACGTATTTAGCTTCTTAATATAGTATGACCACCTATCTATCGAGCTTATTAAAAATGAAAATCTCTTACCGTTGACCCGGGCTATTGCTACTTTATTAGACCGTAGAACTTTCCATACTTTCCATAGTTTAAATCTGGACGTCTCCCTTCGGACACGATACGTCACATTAAATTTAGAATTCACCAATGGCTCCTTGGAATGATAATTGGCGGAGATTATCTAAAAGTGAAATTGTACTTATATGTGGTTAATAACCTCAACTTCAATCTTCTTTCTTTGCGCTTTAGTTACAGGCTTAAGGCCGGCCATGAGCATGTCCGCTACGCCACATGTGCAAGCTCAGAAGGGCAATCCAAAACAAATGAAAGCAAAGACATTGACTGGCCGGTATGATGCTAGAGTGGTATTAAACTATAGGTAATACAAGAAAAATGGGTGACCTGTTTCGCATAAAATTGCATTATCAGAGCAATACAAATTGAAAACAAACCACACACATGAACAGCAACCATCTTGTAGATTTTGTGGTTCTTTTGTATTACCTATATTTCACCTCAGTATCTGAGAAAATGAATGTATTTTTCAACGGTATGGCGGTAGACTAAAAAAATTTAATTTATAAGTAGTGTGACTTACTTTTTGCAAATATAGAACGGTTCCGTTCGAATTTTAATAACTCGAGCGACTTTTATAATGGTTTGTTTTTATTTGACACCACATGCGGCCATAAAATTACGTAATCTCGTTTATTAACCCGAATCCGAATAATATATGGTAAAATATTCAGAGCATCAAATTAAATCTTCTGTATACGAACTGGAGAAAAAATAATCAGTATGCACCCCGGTCGCTCATCGTTTCGGGCACAGAGATCGGAACCGCTGCAACGGCGATGATGGATTTATACGGGTTCGAAACGAGCGGGCGATAAATCTAGGCGAGGTCTTTTCGCCCCTGTACTTATCGGGGCACCTCCCGCCTATGGTCCACTGGCGAACTCTATCGCGATCGAACATTCCACGGTCCGTTCTTATCCTGACTTTAAATCGCCAAAAACCAGTTCGTGTCAGATCATCCGACACCGCACGCTTAACGCAATTAATCAAACCTTATCTGCGACGCTACGATTGTGAGCGGCACTTTAAGCATGTTTCCAAAAGTGAAATGTTTTACATGGAAGTCTTATGCTTTAGCATAACGTTGTTTCTGTTTTAGAGTATAGAGGAAGTCGACACCTTGAGGGATCCTAGACGACTGTTTTTAATGGACATTAAGCAATCCTTGATAAAAATAGTGATATACCATAATTCCCGTTAGAAATTAAGTTTAAGATAATCTTCAAGTAACGATTACGACATTAATTCGCAATTCTCGTGCAAAGTCAAATCCTCTTTGTTTCAATCAAAAACTACACATTCGAAAACGCGATTCTTGGATGGGAGATCTGAAAAATTGCTTCATGTTACGTAGTTTTGCAAGATGGCCGATTAAGTCAGGGAAGCGGATATATCCCGGAAACTGTTAGGAAAATCACTGGGAATCATATGCAATTCTTAATAGCCTCGAATGAAGTTTTATGGTTTTGCATTAATGTTGTATATGAAATTATTGATGAAAAACTGAACTTAAAGATATTTATACAGAACTATTAGTAAAAATATATAAATCGAATCAAGACTTATGGTATGCAGTTCTGGGAATACTAATGTTGAAGCAATTTAAGTTAACTCTATAAAAATAATTTATATTAACTTTCCGACGTTGTTTAAAAATGTCAGCCTCAACACGCAACAATTAAAGCTGGTTTGTTAAGAGAATTGCCAAGATGGACTTGAAAAGTACATTTGTAAATATTGATTATCAATATCAAACACAAATCAGTAATTGTGTTGATTGGTTGGATGATTTGGTCAATGTTTAGCAATTTTAATTTTTGATTGTTCTGTCGAATTAAAAAAATACTATCGTGTAATTCAATTTAATTTTTCAATAAGTTTTACAGTCATATGAAGAAAATTTCCCACCTTGACATAAGCACAAATGATTGTTTTTACATCGGCAACGCAATAAGTATAAAATTATTTATTCATATCAGGTATTGAGGAGAAAATGTACATAGTTTTTCGTTAAATCTTTAACAGTAAAAGCAACCATCGGTTTTATATTAAAGATACAGATACATGTAACAACAAATCGGATACAAAAATACAAAAATACAACTTCAAACTTAGTCATTTGATATTTCTTCTTTGGATCTGCAAAGGCTTGCCCATATTGAAATCCTCTGAGAATATCCATCATTCCATCACAATCACTTGGGAACGCTCACGTCTCTCACACTCAATCCAAAAAATCGTCCCATCCTCCTTTTCTAGGTAGGTGTTAGTAATAATATTAATAGTTTTATTACTATTTACAAAACTTCTGGATTCCTCGTGTGTCGGTTGTTGATGAATCGAACTTGGTGGCATATCGCCAATCATTCTGTTAGATTCTTCAGAACATGACTGAAACTTGCTCGCATTCTACTCTGTGCCTGTTTATATAATTTTTGAGTGGAATAATATGTAAGCAAGTAGTTTCAGTTAAGCTCTGAAGAAACCAACAGGATGATTTAAAATATACATTGAAATGAATTCAAAATATTAAGCACAAAAATTAGTTGGAAATCAGAGACTTCATTCAGTTCAGACTTAATTAAATTAAAATTTTACTGGAACAATCTACTATTCTATTATAAGCCACATTTTGTTAATGTTTTAACATAAGAGTTCATAGTGACCAATATTTCAAATGAGATAACTTTATCATAACAATTATAAAAAAGAAACAAATATCCAGATATTTTCTCCTAATATTTCTTGAATTGCTCCAAATCTAAGTGTAAATCTCTTAAAGTGAATTCATTATACTGTACATGTCTAAAAACTTTCTGAATGACTGAATGATTTCCATCCATTTTATATGCACTTAATAGTTCGGATTATTCCAAAACTGATCGAACATACCAAATGTAAAGTAAAACAATACAAGCCAAACACAAAAATCTTTCGACATTCTTTATACGAATCCCAACATTTGTTTAGTATTACCTTACATGCATCAGCTCCTTCAATATTATAACTACAATGAATAACACTTCTTTTACGACTAAAAACCATATATGAACATTTATTAATGTTTAATTTCGGCTCAGTCATTCAACAGATTGAAATCGTTTTGTAAAAATCTGCAACCCTCAGGCCATTAAATTTTTAGATAATCTACCAAGACCAAATTTGAATTTAAATTATTCCCTATATCATTTACAAACCTTCTGGATTCCTTCCGCGTCGGTTGTTGATTAATTAAGATGATTGGTGAAACGTAATCAAGTTGGATTCATCAACAACCGACACAGGAGGAATCCAGAAGATTTGTAAATACTATACTATTGTAACACTAGTAGCCTATGGGATTTTCTTTGAAAAATTATTCCTTGTATCATTTACAAGCAGCAAAAATAACTTTAGACCGGGTGTGATCTTTGTAGGACTCCAGAAGCTACACTAAACCGAGGAGAGAGGAGACCCGGTGATTTCTGTGCCTCGTTGGCCGTAGAATGCCATCTATGATATTGTTTTTTTTTTCATTCCGGAAAAGTCCAAAATATCGATTACCGATGACGTCACTTTAACCTTATCATAAAAACTCCAGAACGGCGAATGTATTAAAATCGCGAACTAACGAATAAACCCATTATATTGTATAACGGATATGCAGATGACTTCGATGGGCATTTTTAATAGCCTTTAGAAAGGACCTTGCGAGTGACTTGAAACCGCGCGTGTGTTTGCGTATCTGGTAATGACTGTAATTCGTCGACGTTCGGCAAACAAAAATAACATAGAGCCCGTGAAAGTTGTAGGTCCCACCCTAATCTGATTTCTTCCCCTCTTAGTTTGGGTGTGAGTCATTAAACCCCTCTCAGTTGTTCACCCTCGTTATTCGGGGTCTCTTTCCATACTACGTACACACACACACACACACACACACACACACAGACGCTCGCGCGACTTTGGATCAAGAGCCATTGTGACACCCGCAAAATTGCGTATCGTAATTAGGCGGTCGTATCGGCATTGTTCGTTTTGGGTGACGGACGCGCTACATGGATTTGTTTTTTTTTTGTTTTAGGTGAGGCCAGTAACGCGAGTATCGGTAGCGGGGAGGGGACAGGCGAGGAGGACGACGACACGAACGGAAAGAAAAATCAAAAAAAGAGAGGCATATTTCCCAAAGTAGCCACAAATATCCTCAGGGCGTGGCTATTTCAACACCTAACGGTAAGCCTAATCGTCGACGCTCGTTCATCACGAAGAGAGAGCAATGAAACATTTGAGAGTATGCTAATTAACTGTTCTTGACAGCCCGAAACAGGTTTAATATGCCGATATGTTTAATGTTAAGGCTGTTACCATACAACAAACACTTTTCGAGTGACTTGTGCTATCAACAATAAGCGGATATATATAAGAAAGATACCTTAACTTTGACAACAGTTTTTATAGTTTTTTAAGGAAACCAATAGGGTTCCAAGTTGTGTAAGACTTCCAGTAAACACCCTTTATTTGCACCCAAACTGTTTACTTTATCTACAAAACTTTTGGTGTTGGTTATTTCAGGTTCTTTATAAAGGTTTTATGGCATTCTTGAAAATCTTATTAAAACACTTTTACTCTTGGGGTTTCATAGCTTACTCTCTAAAACGCCTTATAAACCTTAAAGCACTACTAAATATTCTGTAGCTTCTGCAAAACCCAAACAATCATGCACTTGAAACGACCATCAAAGACGTCTTCCAACTTCTTACCTGTGCACAATTTTAATGTTAATTCTAATTTTTGTTCAGATATTTACATGCAACTAAGCACTTTTTTTTTCAAGAGCAAATAAATAAACAACAACTGAAATGTGAGGTTATTAACATTTCAAATTTGCGCACTAATAGTTTTCGTTTGGTTTTCCAGTTACTTTTGAATCTATAGCGGTTACGAAGGTTTTTATAAATACCTTTTTGTTAGCTTATAAAACTACAAGTGTTCCAAATTTATCTTCGGTTTCCAAGGTAAACCTGATGAACATTACATCTGTATCGACCATTGTTAGGTTTTTTAGAATTGACTTAAATACTTTCATAGAAAAGGAAGAATATCGCATTTTAAGGAATATTCCTGGAATTTGAAGACGAAGAATATACGATTAAAAAATAATCTACATTTTAATTGTACAGATTTTCCATAATTACCTTTTAAAAAGCTTAAGACAAGGGCGCTTCAGTTTTAGGAACGGTAAAATATGAAATTAATAAGTCGTCCTAGGTTTCTGAATTGTTACAATAAATGGGTAGTAAAAATTTTATATGGGACTAAAATTTGGTAACCGTTGCGAAAGAAGTTAACTTAAAATTTTAAACAATATCTTTTTTTTAAATAAATAAGAACTAAAAGTTAAGATTTTCACGAAATTATATATTTATACATGACAATTGTTTCGACAACATCGTGTCTCTATCAAATATAATCAATCAATCAATCTATAATTTTTTGTTGTTGTGTTTAAATCGAGGTTTAAATAGTGTAAAAAGAGAGATGATATGATAATTCCGCATTCTTTTATTAACAACTTCTTTATTCTAGGGGCTGGGAGTTATTAAAATTTACGTTATTGATTTCTGACTGAATATATCTTTGAGCTCACTTAGAAAAATTTTTGTCCTAATTTATGCAACTGCCCACCCATTTTACGCATGCTGGATTTTATCGCCATCGGTATTATCCCGTGATTCCCTTCTGGAGCATAGACTATTTATTATAATAATAATAAATCATGATAACATTTCAAAATGATCAAGATGCATTTTAATGTTTATATATATATATATATATATATATATATATATATATATATATATATATATATATATATATATATATATAACATTAAAATGCATCTTGATCATTTTGAAACGATTAAAATACACAAACCTCAAATAGAATCCCGCCGCAACATGAATGTTTTAAAAAATACATTTTTTCTTCTTATAATGAATTCCTCGCGACAAGTAAATGTGAGACATATATCTAATACTTAAATATCATGAATATAGTTTGGTCGTGGTCATATTTTATTTATTTGAAGACGATTTTTATCTCAAAAGGAAAACGTCATATTCTCCATTCTTGGACTTTTTCTCATGGCGCATACGGATGTTTACATCTTTCTAAATGAACGAAAAAAACTGTTCTTTCCGGTTACAAGGTTTCATTTCCGGCTCGGCTGCATCTCGGGGCTATATTTCCGACACAGTTATCCAAGTTTATCCACGAGGGAGATCCGTCGTCGACATGTGTCCTACTTACCCAAGGCGGGGGATCTCGAACACCATTCGGACAGCTTCTATATTTATTTTAAAACGATAAATGTGTTTTCTTGTGGGGAGACGTTTTTAAAATTGAATGCGTTGCTCGTTTTGTTCGTCATCTCCCGTTATAGTCAATTGCGAACACTACTATAGCTTAAAAATAGTATAATATTCACAATTTTGATTTGTAGCATTAATTTTGTGACATTAATTAAGAACTGACGGTTTCCTTCGGCAACAGCATTCCGACGAAAGCAAAGGGTTCGATTTTTTTTTTATTTAATATTGGCGTCCATGTTGATGCGGTGTTCAATCAATTTTCATGTGGATTTGCGGCTGCTAATTTAGATCTTCATGTATTGCAATGTTCCATTCAACAGTTGTTTTAGCTAATTAAGGTCATTTTCCGAAATTATAATTTGCCAAATTTCAAACCGAAAATGTCGTCGTTTTTCTGCCCAATATTTGATACGGAATTATAGACTTCCATGTGGAACCCTCAGCTTCTTCTCAAAATTCGCCATATACGTGGCCAATTAATTTTGGTTGTTTTTTTAGTTAGTTGGTTTAGGATGCATTTTTGAATTTAGTTGCTTTGTTAACATGATTAATTAGTTGATAGTATTTCTTCGACAGTTCATTGGAAATAATTGGAAAATAAATAGTTTCGAAGTGGTTTTTGAAACCCCGATTGGAACCGGTATTCAACGTTCAACATACAAAAATATAAGTGCGGTAAAAGTCTCTAACCGAAACTAATACCGCCGACTTTATTTAATTTAATTTTTTAATTTAATATTTTCGGAAATTCCCAAAATATGACTTATAATTAAAAGTTCTCTAAAAAAAATGAGAACCCAACTGGTTCACCATGCATAAGCAAATGTTTATGGGGCTTCTATGCAATTATTGGAGCGTAATAAAACGCAATTTTCATTTGTGTTGTCTGGTATAGTGGCGCCTAATCGAAAGTGCATAAAATGTGGAAAATCACCAAGAATATTTGAATTTTGAGTTTGATCCACATCGAGTGAAAATTGACTTTGCGATTTTGTGCATTTCACGACCTCTTTAGAATGACAGATTATAAATAGTTGTTTTTTTTTTATCATTTATTATGGGTATACAAATTTCAAACGCTAGTCACGTTTCATTCTCATTATTGCTTTTTGTTGCAGACATACGAAAATATGCCTCTAGAAAATCTTCTCGGTTACTCATATTACGGATGAAGGGGCACTGGTTTTAAACTTAATTTTAGGTATATTCTAAATGTATAGTTTTGATGAAGAGCAGGGAGGCTGGGGGACCAAACCACACAAAATTGTAACTAATTTATGGAGGCATAACCTTTTGCCTGAAAACCCACATCACGTACTCGGACTTGAATTTATAGAAAATGTATACAATCATACATTGAGAATATATAATATACATAAAACATAAAACGCTCTGTGGGCATCTGGACCTACATTAAAGCTGAACGAAGATTATCGCAAAAACTTATCACCAAAAGCGGGGAGTCGAAGAGGTGCAATCATCTGAGTAGATATAGCTATTGAAAAAAGATAAACTCCTCCAAGCTGTAAAAGGATTGCTTCATTAAAAAATCTTTGACTAAGTTTTTGAACCTGTTTATTGGGAGTTGTTTTGTCTCGAGCTTAAGTTTATTAAAAAATGGATGCAGTAGTAATTTAAACCTAGCCTACTCGCATTAAGACGGAAGAAATCAGTTCTGAGGTTGTCCCTATTCCGTGTTTTGTAAGGGTGAACTTTATTCTCATATAAAAAATCTGTTTGATTCTCGTAAGCGTAAACTAGACACTTAAGTATATAAGCGCTTGGCAGTGTAAGAATTTTAAGCTTCCAAATTTTAGATCTAACGTACTTTGAGATATGAGATATGTGATTATTCTAATTGTTCTACGTTGTAGGCCTGAGATTCTTGCTGCACAGACAGCGTGACCTTAGTTTATCATAAAGCAAGTGGGAGTCAATGAAAAATGTTTTTGGATTTTTTTTAGCAACTTAGCAATTTAGTTTAGGGTCTAAATGAATTCCCAAGAACTTTGCACTTTGTCCACTATTTATTTCGTTGATGTGCCCTTGAGAGAAGATTAAAGAAACTGTTTTCCCTTCGTTGAGGGTTAAGCTAATTTTTGTAAACTAGTCCTTAGCTCTTGTTAAGTCAGAGTTAGCTTCAGCAAGTGCTTCAATAAGATTTTTATTTATTAAGGAGTAGTTTTATACTCGACGTTTGTCACATGCTATGGGAATTGCCGTCAACACTTAGACAAACTAATATTTTTTAAAAAATCCCATAGAACGTGACAAACATTTAGCACGAAACTGTTTCTTCTTAAAACACCATGTACAAACTTAAATTTAAATAAAACTGTTTTTCATAACATCGTTTCTGAAGATCTAAAAAATATATATCCAAATCGAGTCAGCAGTTGGCGAGAAAATTGAAGCGGACCCAAATTTTAGTGGTGCCTCAATTTTGATGCGAACTTTATATAACGTCTCGCAAATAATTCCGCACCTCTAATATTTTAACTACCTATTCGGATGATTCGCGGAGGGATATGTCGCGTTCAATATAAAGCGACGGGAAAGAAATCCCAGCGTCCGCCGCCGGATAGAATTTTCCGTCGAAATAACTATCCGCTTTCGAGGAATTACGAGGGCAGGAAATTAGGCGTCATATGCGCAGCCCTCACGTAGCCGAGGATTACGGAAGACCCCTTCGGGCCATTTTATCCCTGCCGGTGGCATATAATGATTCTAACGCTTTATCTGGTCGCTACATGCATGCGAAGGTTACGAATTTGCGAGGCCTTCGATCCGTATTCCGTTCACCTTCGTCCCCGTGTGATATACGCGGGTCAAAAAGGCTCCCCCGGGTGCGGCGGGAAGGGA